CACACATATATATAGACAACAATATTGCTTCAAAACTTGCTTGCAAAAATAAATAAATAACGTGTATTTATACACACATATACACAAACACACTTTTTCATTTATTTTTGCAAGGAAGTTATGAGGCAATGTTATTGTCAACATATATATCGATAATGTTGTTATATATTTAAGGCAATTTCATTTGTACCAGTTAGTTATTCAAGACATAAGCTGGCATTTCAAGATGTTGGCCTTGTATGAGATGTGAACTTCTTGCTATCTTTATTGCTGTAATAGAAATAACATGCAAAATGTTCTTTTATCCGTTGCTATGTTTGGCCTGTTCTGAGGTCCACATTTACATATCTTAACAGGCAGCATATCTGTCAGAAACATATCTAAATATAAATCACACATCCATATGTGTGCTTTCGTTCTTTCATACGCTCTGTCTTTCTCTCTTTGTGAAATCGCAGCCTACCTTTATCATCTCCAGAGCCTATGTCATGAACAGAGCGCGCGACTGATGTGGGAATCATGGTGTGAATGCCATCTGATTCTGAAGACGTCTCCATGCGTGTCAGTGTCAGAAAAGGCCATCAAAGCAGTGGATTGTTTTCTTTCAAAAGGTTGCATTTCCTAAATGAAGCCAAAAGCCCACCACATATACCATATTTTGGGAGAAGGCAGTAAAATAGTGCCTGCAGCTAGAGAACGGCATGCCTGGCTGCTCTACAGAAATTGCCATATTGGACGGATTTGTTGATCGTTATTACCATTATTGTTTTAAAAGGAAAAAGGGAAGCATTTGTGCGTCGGTTAATCTGCCCACATTCAAACCAGTGGGGTGTTGAAGATGGAGTCACCAGCGAGGATGCAGGCTTTCCCATTCCAATATCTGATTCCACATGGCTGTTCTGCATGAGAAAGATTTTCATTTGGGAAATGAAGCCAAATGGCAACCCCTGCATTTATATTGCTGATGTCTCCACAGCCTGCACCTTCAATGTGTTATTCAAGTGTAACATTGACCCATACTGTGCTGTGATCAATATTAGAGCATACTATTATCATGGCTTTGAAAGTTATAAGTCTATTTGGGTGCTGTATACAAACATAATAGCTTTATTACTGTATAGGAATCCAGCTATAGATATCTAGCGATTTTCTAGCAAAAACAATCACAGCACATAAGCGTAGAGAAAAACACAGTGTTATACATGAAGTGTATTAGATACTAAATAATGGGTTAATGCTAAATGTTAATAATGAATGAATTTATCCTTTTTTTCACATGAGGTACTCCGTCTTGTCTTTGTGCTGATTCAATATCCCGAGCCCTTGGTTCAGACCTTTTATTATACAGACTGATGTAATTCGCCTGTTTGATTGTGTTCCTTTTTGAGGGTCCACTTAGAATATCACAGGCACAGTTTGACCCCAGCATGTCGCTACACGTCACACGATCTGGAACAAAACTTTGAGTTAAGAAACCCATGTCCTCTTTGTGTGGTCTGGTGTTGTGCCAAGTGTTGACGGGTCTAGAACTGGCACTATTTCCTGCTGCGGCTTGGGGTTCACTTCTTCTGTAGACATTTTCACAGTTGTTATCAGGTTAATACTTCAAATACATCATTATAATAAACCGCCCGATTAGATAATTACCCATTTGACACAGATTTTGGAAAACATTTTCAGTATGAGCATTCTGTTTCTCTTACTGACAGTCACAGAGAGCACCTCTATGAGCAAACGTTATTAACACATTTTAATAATACTCTTTTATTCAAGAAAAAAAGAAAAGAAAAGGATACCCCATCAATGTCCTTTGCATTTAAAACTAACAATAACACAGCATTGGCTGTAAGGTTTCTCTTTAAGCATGGAAAAATTTACATGTTTAGCCCAGCACTGCAGCAAAAGCTTTTCTTTATGAGCTAGTTATCATAACCAATCGAATTATGCTATTTCTGGTGCATTTCACATAGGTTTTTACTAGATATACAAGATATGTAAAAATCATTAATATGGAAAGTTGCTTACCAAAATTACCATATTTAGCCGAAATACTGTTGCTAATGCTAAGCGGAACCATAAAACAGGATCTCAAAAGCTTTCAAAATATTCTATTTGTTATTTGATGAAAGTGTTGGCTTTTGTTTCCACAGTAGAAATAATAATTGTAGTCCTACTATGTATTTTGAGGAAACAGTGGTTGCTACATTTTTTAAAGGGATACTAAGGGATATAAGAAACGCACAAAAGTGTGCTTCTGTCATAACCCCTGATGGCCAGATGATAGACAGATATTCCGAATTTCTTCTGTTGCTTTTGTTTTTTCAAAGTTCTGCTGCTAAGACTATTTAAATTGTGAGCTCGCGTGTAAATATTGTGGGAAACATAACATTCGTTTTATAGACATCTATTCATAATACATTCACAGACCAAATGAGTTAAATCAAAAATGGAGGCGTCATTAATGTTGTTGATTTTCTCTGTGTTTTTGTTTACTTTTTGTTTGAATTGTCCGCTTTGATTGTCGCGTCTCGGTCAAAAGCGATTATTTCCGCTTCCTGCAGGGCAACAGCCAAAATTCCCCCTTACCAAAAACTCTCCGCGCTTTAATTACTTTATTAATCCAATTAAGAAGGAGACTGAAACACCACATTTTGTAATCCTATCACGTTAAGATTGCATGGGTGGAGCAATGTTGCCAAACGAAAAAAAACAAAAAAAAAACATTGCAACTTCACACAACAAAGCTCTTTAGAAAATTATTATTCGGTCTTCTATAAATACGTGTATTACTTCAATTATTTTAAATAATTTATATTTATTTTAAATAATTTAAATATTTGCGCACAAATATAATTCAAGCATATTTTAACTTTTTGTGGTTAGAGAGCAATTTACTTCTAGTCTAAATAAATTATGCCTTACAAATTTACCATGGCAATCATAGTTTCTGCAAAAATAGGCATATTTGTTACAACTATTGCACTACAGTAACTCATAAATATGGGCATCCTTCATACTGCCAAAAAATATAAGATCTGACGTTTCTTGCCTTTTTAAAAAAAAAATAATAGCTTTACCATGTTATAGGTACAGTGGTAATAAAAACTGTATAGAAGTAGGCCTAGCATTATTATTATTATTATGCTATATTAATAAAAATAGCCTAGTTAGGCTATTGTTGTTAATAATAATAATAATGTTTTAATTATAGCCTACATTAAACAGGCTTACATATCAAATTATATACAGTTTATATAAGTAGATATATATTTTGTTCTGTTTTATTGTAAAATAAGAGTCAGCGGAAAACGGCTCATTTTCATTGAACTACTAGATGAATTAGAATCAAATTCACAGAACTGTTTTGTAGCACTTGATGTCCCAAAAATTCTGTCTGTGGTTTGTCCATCGTGGATAACAACTGGGGGGATATTTTTTGTTAAGTCTATTATTAATTCCATGGATGGATGGAAAAAAGAAGCCCTGTGGTCCCAAGTGTTAAAAGAGGTGACAAGAAGGGAGAAAGGGGAAGAAAGAGTGGACGTTGATGTAAGTTTATGTAGGACAAGTTTGGCCTTTGATCTTGGAGCGTGTAGCGATGCGGTTACATCGCCTCGGGTCACCGTGACAACAGCCACCTGCACAGTTACACTGCGCTCATCTCTCATCAGAGCTTCACAAGCCCACACTCACAGAGGGCAGTTCACACTGAATTCAGCCCCACTGCATTATTATTTTATTTATTTATTGCAAATGAATACAGGCTTGCTTCCCGCCATGCGCGAAAAGTATTGTAATTAAATAATTGACCTCTGGGCCAAAATTATCTGAAACAAGCCACGGGCCACTCCGTATTAAATTAATAAGGTCTAAAGCTTCATTCATTATTCTGCCTTTAGCCCTCTATCAATTGAACATGGCTTTATGAGGCGCGATTAAATGAGCTACATTTGTTGTTTTCTGAGTAGAGGTCAGAGTGCTGAACTGCGCGTCTATCGCATTGTTCATCGCTCAATTGTGTCTGTGTCGCCCATGAACCTCGAGACCTCAAATCATCATCCAGCGCGTGCATTCACGTGCATTGTTACGAAAAAAGCAAAAACATTCAGCAAAGGTCTTGCTTGGTTGATCAAATGATGCTTAAAAAAATAAAAACAATGCAATAAAAACAACCAAAAAAGCTTTTTTGTTGTTGTTTTGGCAGATACATTTAATTGGTAACACTTATCACTAAATGCTACTATAAACATTATTAGACCTGCAATATTGCTTTACAGACCATTCGTGAATAGTTTGAAATGTCTAAAATGTCCATGCATAATTTATACAAATAAAATGTATGGGCTACTATTTTTATTTTATTATAAAATTTTAAAACCTTAATATTGAAAGTTATTTTAAAGTGCTATTTGACTTTCCTAAACCTAAAATTAGCTCGGTTACGATTCATGCAGATGCAATTTTTTGATGTTATTTATTTATTTAAATAAAGATCATGTTCTGCATTTCACTTATCTTCTGAACCCCAAATCCCTTGACGCACTTAAACTTGTCAGCATTAGAGAGGGACAGAGATAGAGGGAGCGAAAGTTATGCTAACAAATTAACAGATATACGCGAGTACGCATATACCCACTGCCCATATCTGAAGAGGGGAGTGTGTGTGTGTGTGTGTGTGTGTGAGAGAGAGAGAGAGTGAGAGAGAGAGGAAGAAAGAGAAAGAGGAAGAAAGAGGGCATGAGCGCGCGGCTCTTTCTTGACTTTGCCCCATAATCGTTTCACGCTTCCTTCAGAGTCTCCTTTCCACCTAAAACGTTTAGTCTCACTCCAGTGAACAATTGCAACGGCGCAACAGGGAGCGGAAGAGTCGCGTTATTTCAAACTACCATTCGTCAAAACCACTGTTACACAAAAGAGCAGAGAGAACAGCAACAGAGGACATAGGAGAGGGAACTTTTTTGTTGTTGTCACCCCCCACCCCCCACCCACTCGACCCTCTGTCCAACCTCAAGGATGGACTTGGACCAAAAGGGTCCATCTCTGCGCATCGGACGGTCGGGTAGGGCCTTGTCTGTTTCTCCATTTCACTTGAACTACTATTGTTTGTTCAAAGTTGTCTACTAATAAAACTGTCTATCTTTTACAAAACTAAACTAACAAATACAGCATTTGTGCACTTGCTGCATGGGCTATATGTCTTTTATAAAACTGCTTGATTTTTGGATTGACCCTTATATTGATATGAACTCTGGTGGTCCATCTTTTGACACTTTTAACATAAACAAATTCGGGAACAACATGGGCCTAGAAATACTATAAGCTTGCATTTTGGCCACACCTTTGCTGACTCTGTAATTTTGACAGCATCGTATTTTGAGCTTGAAGTGTGCTGGTTTTGGGCCTATTTGTCCGACAGTCCAAAGGAACAATAAAAATTCAAAACCGTCACACGAAATTTAAAAACAGAACTCTTTTGGATTGACCCTTATATTGATATGAACGCTGGTGGTCCATCTTTTGACACCTTTAACATAAACAAATTCGGGAACAACATGGGCCTAGAATACTATAAGCTTGCATTTTGGCCACACCTTTGCTGACTCTGTAATTTTGACAGCATCGTATTTTGAGCTTGAAGTGTGCTGGTTTTGGGCCTATTTGTCCGACAGTCCAAAGGAACAATAAAAATTCAAAACCGTCACACGAAATTTAAAAACAGAACTCTATTTGAAACCAATGACATTTCCTGTCACACACTGAGGTTGTTGAAAGATGTATGCTCGAACTGAGTGTGAGTGTCTATACTGCAGATGTTTTCATTCAGGATCCAAAAGCATGAATTATGCCTGTGCAGTCCATGCATTCAGTAACAAATAGTTCTGTGTTTTCGTCGTTCACGCGTCACATTTAGAAGTCCCAATGAAACGGCGCGTGCAGTTGAGATTTATGCGTAGATTCTGTCGGCGTTGGTGCTTGTTACTTTGCTAAACGTGAGATACGCAAATCGCACAGTAGTCAGAATTGCTTGTTGTCATGTAGAAATTGTACTGTATTAGTATAAAACTATACATATAAAAGGGACATGCATTAATGCATGCCTACTTTTCTTCATAACATAATGAGAAACACACTTTAATTGCTCTGCCGGGGACTTAAATAGACCAGTTTAAATGATCTAAGGTGGTTTATCTCACCTGGTTCAAAACGACTACGCCCAGCTTTCCTTGAAGACTAAATAATATTATTATGCGACATCCTAGTATATTTGGATCTCGTGTTTTTATTTGTCTGGTGATTTTTACGGGTGTAGTTTTTTATTGTTGACCTACTATATTCAATTTGGCCTGTTTGTGTCAAAAAATACATCTTTGATAAATAGGCCACTACCTAACTGATGGAGTACGCCTAAGCTTAAACATCTGACAGTCTTGTAGTCCTTTGGTTAGATGTTCTGTTGGTTTCACCCAGAGCTGTTTTTTTCCCAACGATAACACATGGGACATAATTTATAGAATTGATTTAACTTTCGATTAATGTGAAACACATTCTCCACTTCTCACGAATAGAATATATGAGTTTTTTTCTGTCAGTGATGTGATTCATTGCACATACGGCCAACTTGGGAGTGGACTGGAAAACATGTGCTTGGCTTTGAAACTGATGCTCTGCGATATTTTCAATTATTATTAATAAATATTTATATTTGCGCCCACTTCTGAACACTTTTATAGAAATGTTACTATTTATAATGCGTATTTTCTTAAGATTACCTACATAAGTGATCTGAGTCCTAAATCATTATTGCCTTCAAAAATGTTCTCAAAGCGTTAAAACATGTAATAGATTGCGTGAATGCTGATTAAATTTTTATCCCAAAAAATCCAAACCAGAACCAAAAGCAAGCTGTATACATGATTTTAGCTGTTTTAGTTGGACTTGTTTGTATATTTAATTAGCTAAATATGCATAAAATTGATTTTGGGGAAACTGTTATATAGCAATAATTTTACTAAGATGGGAGTATTTAATCACGTGGGCCACAGAATATATATATATATATTTTAAAAAGGCAGACTAAAATAATTCAGATAATTTACTCGAAAGGCTTAAAATGTTTAATGAGCCTAACGTTATAAAATAATTATTGTTTTTTGGGGGGGGCCGGGTTTGTCTCTCAATATAAGGATCAAGACAACAGCTAACAAATAAATGATTCAAATGAAAGTCGACAAGGCCTTCATAACATTAATGAAAAGGTTCAACTTAATCAACTTAATTTACTTACTAATTTAAGTAAAATAACTTGATGATTCCAATATTTAAACAGGCATATTATTCAATTTAAAACGGAATACAAAATATCTGCAAATAGCGCTGTTGGCTATTTTAACACTGCAACACATTTATCATTAGTTACTGTGATTTCACAAGTAAGTAAGTGTGTGTGTGTGTGTGTGTGTGTGTGGCAAGCTGACGAGATTCAGCTTCTTCACACGAGATCAAAGGTTCGCCCCCTCGTGGCACTTACGGCGCACCGCGAGGGAATCTTTTCAAGACTTATACAGAACACGAATGTGTGTTAAGCACATGGATTTTGAACATGAAGTACAGGATTCCAGCGAACGTTATTCTGACCACGCAGGCAAATACATGTAAGGTAGTTGTGTCTTTGATCTTTAAGTGTAACTAGTCACACTGGGACTAGTCGTAGAAGATTCAACAAAACCTTCTCGAAAATGTTCTCAAACAAAACATAAAAATTCAGTTTTAGAAGAGTTAAATTTGTATCCAGGCAATTAAACATCTCGGCAGAACGTAACACATTGAGAAACATGTAACATTTTTTTTATTTCGTTCCATGTTTTGCTAAAAAGTTGCAATTTACGTTTTTTTTGTATATAAATTAATAAAATACATAAATTAATAAACATATACACCGGTAATCAATCAAAAAAATCAACTAGGCATGCGTTCGAAAATAAAATACTTAGTTAATTAATAATCTATTAATTAAGTGATTTATAAGTAATTTTATCCTTTTATTTCAAGGATGTTTTTTTTTTCGTTTTCTTACCGACATAAATTAACATAAACATATACACCGGTAATCAATCAAAAAAATCAACTAGGCATGCGTTCGAAAATAAAATACTTAGTTAATTAATAATCTATTAATTAAGTGATTTATAAGTAATTTTATCCTTTTATTTCAAGGATGTTTTTTTTTTCGTTTTCTTACCAAAGTAAATGAAATAAAGATCACATTAATGTTCATAAACACAATAACCCTAGTATTACTTTTTTTTTTTAAATGCTTGTTATTTTTTGTTGTTGTTGTTGGTATTACACTAATCACTATGATGCTAACACAACAATTATAATCCCCATTATTTAAAAAACACATCACTGTTAGTCAGCTGCACTTAACATGACAAAATACAAAGTGCTTAATCATTTGTTGGAAGGCTGGTCATGAAAAATTATTTGGTGCAAAAATGTGCGTGGAACAGCGCTGGTGTCCGTCAAACAATGATAGGAAGAATCTTTTCTGCAAGGCTCATCAATAACAACGAATTATTTGAGCAAATTTAATGAATGCTTAATCATTCAACACGTTAATTAAAATAGCAATTTACCAAAATGTAAAAAATAAAATAAATAAATAAATAAAAAACTCATTGTCGAAGATACTAAACAGAAGTCGTGCAAGTGCCATATATAATTTCCAATAATGTGCAAATACAAAACTGTTTGAGAAAATCTGTTCATTTATTTTATATGAATTGTATGTTTTACATGCTTATAGCTCAGTAAAATGCTGCAATGTGTCAATTGCCATAAGCAATATTTTAAAAATGGTTTTACAACGCATTAGGCGTATTCATATAATTGAAAACATTCTGACGCAATATCTCATTATTATCTATTTATTAATTTGGATGACTGAAAAGAGTGAAAATGGATGTTTTAAAATTTCTATTTTATCCCCTTCCTTAATTGAAATTAGACTTGGGATCAGCGACAGAGAACCAACTTCGATTCAAGACTCCCTATTTGTCAGTGCACAATTGGGACAGCACGTCACTTTCATATTGGCCCAGTGTTAGCCAATCGGTGTCGTCTTTATCTGAGCGCGACTCAGGGCGATTGTGACGGCAGAGGTGCAGTGCCCGGATAGGTAGGCTTATCTTGATTGACAGTCTCGCTCGGGCTCGGTAGTAGATTCAGAGCGCTGTGGCTTTGGCGCTGTCCACACGAGAGCAGGTTCTGAAACGCGCCGTGCGCTCTTGCAGTGTTTGCGCGGTACGGACGGAGGCTCGACCACTGCTTCTCACCGCCGGAGCGCTCAGGCTGGAAGACCACCTTTCGGCGGACATCCGTTGCGACGAGACAGACAAATCACACTACCGTATCAGCCATCTGAGACTTTCCGTGGATTTTTACGCACGGACCGAGTGGTTCAAAACTTGACAAAGCCTGTTTTCTTCTTCAGGACATTTCTTGGACATTTTTTCCCAAGTTCAAATGCTTCGCGCAATGGCTATTTTTTATTTTCTGTTTAACTTTGGCAAACATTTTGATTCGGGGTTCATCCCTTTTTAATTTCAAATGTCCACGGCGTATGTCTATTGTTTGGGGATCTTCATACTGTCGGAGTTTTTTCCTCCTACAAAGACAGTCTGAGGGCGCTCTTTGAGCGATTAGAAGATCAAGATGCAAGGGATCGCTTTTACGTGAAGATAGGCTACATTGAACATGAAGTAAATGTTTTGGTTACTCAGAAACCTCACCAGGATTTTACAGATCTCTGGTAGAGACGCGCTCTGACAGTCAGTGAACCTCGGTCACAGTTCACGGGTCACGGTCAGTGGAGCGAGGATGTCAAGATAGAGCTTGGAAACGAGACTTCTACATTTTTTATCTAAAGCTTACGACTGTTCGGACTAATATTATCGCCAGGACTTTTCTTGAAATCCCATTTTGATGAATCCCCACTGATGGCTGAGTTGATTCACTCTGGATGTTGGGCCGCAGAAGCAGTTGTGTGACCCTGCAGGG